TTTCATTTTGGGGGCATAAATATCTGGAAATAATGTGATTGGGTTATAGGCTAGGCATATGTGCTGTCTAGGAAATATTTGCTCTCAAGTTGTGAAGATGTCCTCATGTTTCCTTCCAGGAACTTTATAGTTTTAGCTCTTAGGTTTTTCTCTATGATGAGGCAGCATTTAGGGTTCAACTTTCTCCAGGATAGTATTTATTTTTTTCTTTAGCACAGGTTGCTTAAATACCTTCTTTCCACATTGAAGTGTCAAGTTACCTTTGAGAAGGTCTATTTCCAGAATTTCTGTTTTGTCACAATAATCTATTTTCCATTCTTTTTTAAAAAACTTTTATTTAATGAATATAAATTTCCAAAGTACATCTTATGGATTACAATGGCTTCCCCACCCCGTAACGTCCCTCCCCTTTCCCACTCCCTCTCCCCTTCCATTCACATCAAGATTCATTTTCGTTTCTCTTTATATACAGAAGATCAGTTTAGCATACATTAAGTAAAGATTTCATCAGTTTGCACACACATAGAAACACAAAGTGAAAAATACTGTTTGAGTACTAGTTATAGCATTAAATCTCAATGCACAGCACATTAAGGACAGAGATCCTACATGAGGAGTAAGTGCACAGTGACTCCTGTTGTTGACTTAACAAATTGACACTCTTGTTTATGGCATCAGTAATCACCCTAGGCTCTTGTCATGAGTTGCCATAGCTATGGAAGCCTTTTGAGTTCACGGACTCTGATCATATTTAGACAAGGTCATAGTCAAAGTGGAGGTTCTCTCCTCCCTTCAGAGAAAGGTACCTCCTTCTTTGATGACCTGTCCTTTCCACTGGGATCTCACTCACAGAGATCTTTCATTTAAGTCCATTTTTTTTTTTGCCAGAGTGTCTTGGCTTTCCATGCCTGAAATACTCTCATGGGCTTTTCAGCTGGATCCGCATGCCTTTAGGGCTGATTCTGAGGCCAGAGTGCTGTTTAGGACATCTGCCATTCTATGAGTCTGCTGTGTATCCCACTTCCGATGTTGGATAGGAGAAAATCACTCTGAACATGATTAATTTTACCTATTGAAGGCCAGACAATATGTTTACCTACAACATACTCATTTTAAATACCCAGACAAATTAAAAGAAAAATGGTGGAGAAAAATATACTATGCTCACTCTATTCAAAGAAAACAAGGGTAACTATATTAATTTCTGACAAAGCAGACTTCAAAATGAAAAAAATTATCAGGAATAAATGTCAGGAAAATGTACAAATGGTCAGTTATTAAGAAGTGATAATGCTTGCTGTGTATACAATTAACAACAGAATGTCAAAATGAAAGTATATGAGGTGGGACAGAGCCGTGATGCACTAGGTTAATTCCCCACCTGCGGTGCCAGCATCCCATGTGGGCACCGGGTTCTAGTCCCAGTTGCTCCTCTTCCAGTCCAGCACTCTGCTGTGGCCTGGGAGGGCAGTGGAGGAGGGCCAAAGTGCTTGGGCCCCTGAAGCCCCATGGGAGACCAGGAGGAGGCACCTGGCTCCTGGCTTTGGAACGGCATGGCTCCAGCCATTGTGGCCATTTGGGGAGTAAACAATCTGATGGAGGACCTTTCTCTCTGTCTCTTCCTCTCACTGTCTGTAACTCTACCTGACAAGTAAATAATTAATTAAAAAAGCTTTAAAAAAGAAGGTATATGAGGCAACAATTAATAGAAATGCAAGGAGAAACAGATTGATCCACTTATTAACAATGAAGAGTTCAACAACTTTCTGTTAGTAACAGACTCAGCAGGCAGAAAATAGGAAAGACAAAAGTGACCTCACTATTAATGAACTTGATGTAATTGACATTTATCAAACAACAGCACACTCTCCTCAAACTCATATGGAACAATTACCATAAAATACACCATAACAAATACAAAACCAGGGGCTGGTGCTCTGGTGCAGTGGATTAACTCCCTGGCCTGAAGCACTGGCATCCCATATGAGCACCGGTTCAAGACCCGGCTGCTCCACTTCCAATCCAGCTCTCTGCTATGACCTGGGAAAGCAGTAGAAGATGGCTCAAGTTCTTGGGCACCTGCACCCATGTGGGAGACCTGGAAGAAGCTCCTGGCTCCTGGCTTCGGATCAGTGCAGCTCCGGCCACTGCAGCCAACTGGGGAGTGAACCATTGGATGGAAGACCTCTCTCTCTCTCTCTCTCTCTCTCTCTCTCTCTCTCTCTCTGCCTCGCCTCTCTCTGTGTAACTCTGACTTTTGAATAAATAAATAAATCTTTTTAAAGAAATACAAAAGCATACAAATCATGCAATTTCTACTTAGATCACAGTAGAGTAAAACTAAAATTCATCAACAGATAGCTGGAAAATTTCAAATACATGGACATTAAATAGCACATTATTAATGTATAGGTCAAAAAAGTGTCAAGAGGGATAATGTATTAAGTTGTTCATTAACAGTCAGGGCTATGCTGATCAAGTCACCGTTTCTCATAGTGTTGATTTCACTTCAACAGGTTTCCTTTTTGGTGTTCAGTCAGTTGTCACCAATCAGGGCGAACATATGGTATTTGTCCCTTTGGGACTGGCTTATTTCACTCAGCATGATGTGTTCCAGATTCCTCCATTTTGTTGCAAATGACTGGATTTCATTGTTTCTTACTGCGGTATAGTATTCTAAAGAGTACAATTTGGGACATGCTCAAGCTGAATTGCCCCAAATGGTAGAGTTAGAAACATACCAGGGGACTCCAATTTAACCCCATCAAGGTGGCATGTACCAATGCCATCTCACTAGTCCAAGTGATCAATTTCAGTTCACAATTGATCATAATGAAAGGACT